GGAGGAGGAAGGGTAAATGGCCTCTAATTATCTGATTTTGATTTTATTGATTAGTACTGGGATTGAACCCAAGGGCACTTAACCACTAAGCCACATCCCCAGCCTTTTTTATTTTTAGGTTCTCCCTAAATTACCTAGGGCCTTGCTAAGCCAGCTGAGGCTGGCTTTGAACTTGCAATCCTCCTGCCTCAGGCTCCCGCAACAGCTGGGATTACAGGCATGAGCCACCATGTCAGCTGGCATTTATTTGATTTTTACAAAGTAGCACACGCCACATTAGTAGTAATCTACCTCCAAGTATGGCTGTTCCTGACCTAGCAAATTGTATAAGCAGGTCCTTCCCGCTGAATTATTATAAAGGGGAATACAGGCTAAGATAATCAAGGTAGTCAGGCCCCTTCCTCTTAGGTTAGGTGTTATTATGGGTGTTATTACAAGGCAAGGATGTATTCAGGGGAGGCCATGGTTCTACAACAAGCTCTTGTTAGCAACTGGAAGATTGTAAGCTGTATACATATAAGAGGTAGGCATTATTATAAAACGGAAACAAACAAAAACCAAGCACAAACTAAAAACGTTTTCCTGCCTTTCCTTCTGTGCTGAGTCACTGCTCAGTTGCAAGCGTTCCAGCTCAAGGCAGTTCCTAGATTCCCTGTCCACTGGAGATGGACCTCCGATCCCTAGAGCACAGATCCCATCGTATTGAAGTAGTGACTGCAGCACTGCCACTGTCCTGCTCGGTCCACCAGTTCATTGTCGAATTTGAGGCAGCATCAGTTAGGCCCACCAAGAGAAAGCGCATAGACATAGAGAACACTAACCCCGCCTACACATGAAAATAGAATCCGGAAACCCGATGGGGGGTGTCTTCATTTCTCACTGAACTGAACAGCATCCTAGCCTCAGGTGGCCAGTGACAAGAGGCTGCCGAGCAGTCATAAGGCCAAGCTGGCGAGGTCAGCTCCGATTACTGCTGGGCAGTTGAGTTCACTGATTTTTCGGGCTCCTGGCCAGGATTGCATAACAGTCCCAGAGGCCCATGAGGGCACAGATGACTAGAAGGGAACCTGCGCCTCCGGACCCTGCGCTATGCCCAGGGTCCACGCCCGGGCCGCGCGGGCGTCGCAGCTCTCTGCGGACCCACTCTAGGGGAAGAATTTGCTGAGGCCCCAGAGGGTGCAAAGATTCTTTGCCCAACTAAATCACCACTAAACGCCATTACCTTGAAGGAAAGCGCTTCGTGAGACTTCGACCTGGGCAGCAAAAAGGCCACGAGATGGCAGCAGAGGACGCAGCCTGGGACAAAAAACCCGAGCCATCTTGAAAAAAAAAAAAAAAAAAAAAAAAAAAAACAGGTCGAGAAACCTAAGACAATTTGGGAAAATATTGTCATTTGTCTATAATCATACATTCGGCATAAATGACTGGATTTCAAAGAAATGAGGGTAAAATTAATCAACCTGAAGACTCTTCCAATCACAGAATTCAACTGCGTATGAAGCTGCATATCATGAATGGGTTATTTTTCCATTGCTTGAAAGCAGGAGATAGGGGTCATGGCCTTTAAAAATTGACGTCAGCAGGAGCCTTGTCACAGTCCCTTCTTTCTGTAAAGTTCTAATTCAAGTAAAATGAGAGATCTCCACAGAGGGCTGCCAAATTGATGAAGAATGGGGCAGATACAGTGGTTGCTGGGGAGGAATGCAGCAAAGCAGAATGCTGTCATGGAACAGTCAAGAACTCTGGTAATAATGTGTGGGGTGGGTGGGGGAGATCATGAGAAACACAGGACAAGTTTCAAACATTCTTTGCTTGCAGCTGGCAAAGGGTATTGTCTAGAGAAAGGGCATTAGTAGCATGGGAGTATGCCCCAAATATTTTTCTTCTATTGGTCCTTCTGCTATATATTCCCTTGCCCTCCCCTCCCTAGTTGTAACTATCAAAAATGTCTCAAGATATTGCACAATATCCTCAGGGGTGCAAAAATGACCCTTTCCTGAAAACCAAGAATTTCATTTCTTCCCTCCAAGACACAGTCAACATGAACTATGTTGAACATCCAAATCCTGAATTCCTACCATATGTTTGTGTAATGTGGAGAATGACAATTGAAGGCTACAAGCTGAAATCTGCCCCTTGAATTAAAAAACAAAAAACAAAAAAAAAGTTATCAATATTTTAAAATCAGAATGTTTCATATTTTACAAGTCAGAATGTCTGTCTTCTGTAGAAACCCTGAAGGTATGGCATTATGAAGTCCACAGTCCTACATGGCAATAATTGATACAGATGAATGGAAACATTCATAAAATTTAAATAAAATGTGTATCCTTATTAGGTGTGGTGGTGCACGCCTATAATCCCAGTGGCTCAGGAGGCTGAGACAGGAGGATTTTGAGTTCAAAGCCAGCCTCAGCAATGGTGAGGCGCTAAGCAACTCAGTGAGACTCTGTTTCTAAATAAAATACAAAATAGGGCTGGGGATGTGCTTGGTGGTTAAGTTCAATCCCCAGTACCATTTTTTTGTTTTTGTTTTGGTGCTGGGGATCGAATCCAGGGCCTTGTGCATGCAAGCCAAGCACTCTACCAACTGAGCTATATCCCCAGCCCTCAATTCCCAATAACTTAAAAAAAAAAAAAGTGTATCCTCTAGTTTGCTACAGTTCCTACCACTCCCTATTCCCTCATAACCATCTGTTTCAGTCATTTAAACCAATATAGGCAATTTATTTTCAACTCCTGAAGTACTCTATAGTTTGGGTTTTTTTTTTTTTTTTTTCCTGTGCTCAGATTGAACCCAGGGCACATTCTAAGCAAATGCTTTACCATTGAGCCAGCACCAGCACCACCTTATAGTTTATTTTTCCTTGTGATTTTTATTGTAGCCTTGATTCTTCAGTAATCTGAGGACAAATATCATTATAACTTCCATGTGAACAAAATGTAGTTTAGAGATTTGATTTGCTCAAGCAACAGAATCAGAACCTAGATTTCCTAACACCCCATCCTATTATTATTTGAAGGAAAAGTTCTATTAAGAACTTCACTTAGGGGGCTGGGGTTGTGTGGCTCTGTGGTGGTAGAGCACTTGCCTAGCATGTGTGAGGCACTGGGTTTGATTCTTAGCACCACATATAAATAAGTAAATAAAATAATAAAGATCAATTAAAAAAAAACATATATATACATACATACATACACATACTTCACTTAGGAGTTTTATGGAACCAAATCAGTAATGCAAGAATGGGCATGACTGTTAGAACTGATGAGTTCCAAGTGCTAAACTGTTCAAGAATCACTACAAACGACCAACCCTTTTTCTCTTAATGAAGTATTTCTGCCTCCCTTCTCCTTCCACACGTGATAAAAATGCCCTTCCTGCTTCCTTAAAGTTGACTGATATATGCCTTACTTTGGTCAATGAACTTTGAGTGAAGGTAACATATATCCCTTTAGGGACATGAATATTTCTTCATGCTTAATTCACATTTTGGAGGGAGTAACTCTACACCTCACAGGGACACCGTAGGGCTTCAAAATGGTGGGATTCTTCAGCTTGAGTATCCAAATAACTTACAGTGAGCAGAGATCCTTGTCAACCTACTTTGGACATGTTGTATGAGAAATAAACCTTTCTGGTTTTAAGCCAACGAAGTTTTAGCGTTGTTACCACAGCATCATCTAGTGTAACTTGGCACAAGGTTCATTTGCATGGTGTTTGAGTTTTTCTAAGAACTAGAAAGCAATATCTAGACTTTTGATAACATTATAAAAGCTGAAAGCCAGAGCAAATTGTTGAATATGGACGCCCCCCCCCCCCCTCAGTTTTCTCATCTACCACCACCTTCTGACGTTGAAAAGTTCTTTCCTTGGAGCCTTTCATACATGAACCCTCCTTTATTCTGTTAGTTAGATTGTGGGGAGGAAGAAGAGGCCCAGATCTTTTTTTCTCTATTCCAGAGCTGATCCCAGAACTGTCCCCACCCACTAATACTCACACTTAACTTTTCATAGGGCGACTATTACCACTCCCAAGGTGTCACAAACAGAAAGGAATTGTAGCTGGCGCCACTGCAATGTCAAGGCAAGACAGCCAGGCTGCGCTGTACCCTCACTGGTGCTTGGGCTTAGCTGAGCCCTGAGAAGCAGCATTCTCTAGGGAAAGAAGCCTTCTCAAGTGGGAACAAAAATGAGTGTGAGGAGAATACCCATCCTGGGCACTATGTGAATTTGGGGTGAGTTCTCTTAGTACTCCAGCTCTGATCAATTTCTAGTGCTAGCGGGTAAGCTGCCCGACTGGTGCTACGGGGACTCTCAGTTTTCTGGCTTTTCCCCAAGCCCACCCGAGCTTGTTATCTTTGTACACTTGCAAAGGTCATAAACGGTTGAGGGCTGAGTGTAAGCAGAGCTTCAGTAACCAGACTGCAGCCCGGGATCAAAGGTCCGCGGAGCTGCGCAGAGGCTGAGTGTGCGCAGTACCGCTCCCGCCTAGGAAAGGCTCTTTACATCCGCGTGCTAGCAATAGGCGGGAAAGTCGGGTCGCCGCGTCCTTCCCTCTGCCTGCCGGGTCCACCGGCCTGCCCAGCGAGCCTGTTATCCGCAGATGCCCAGGACGTGGGGGAGGGGGAAGAGAAAGGCCCCGCGCTCCTGACTCATCATCTCCAACCCCCTTCTCGCGCGCGCTCCAAGTCTCAGGACTTTGGACCTGAGCACTCGTGCGAGGGGGCGCGGCGATAGCACCTGCGAACCCCCAGCTCTGCCAAGCGCCATTCCCAGCCGTCGACGGGCTCGGAAGCTGACAGAGGGAGGGGCGAGGGCCCAGAGTCTGCTCGCAGTTGCGTGGCTGCTGTGTGGCGCCCCGGTGCAGGACCGCCCGCCCGGCTCCTCCCCGCTAGCGGGCCCAGTGGTCGCGCCCGAGGAAACTCTCGGCTAGGCCTTGACTTGCAGCGCCTCGCGTCACTCGGCAGATGCACAGCGCCCCTGTCGCGGAGGGAAGGCTCTTTATTTCCCAGAAGGTCACGGGGTAGCGGGGCATCCTGGGACTTGTAGGCTCTGTTAGAGTGGACCAGACCAGAATCTAAGAAAGAAGCAGTGGGGAGAGGAGGGCAAGGATGGAAGGGAGGAAGCCCCTTTACAGGGAGGTGAAGTGAGATGGAGGACCCAGGTCCAGGTATATCTTCATCTAGTGGGGAAGGGACAAGAAAGAACTCCACTAGACCTCATGCTACCTTCTGAGTTTGCTGGGGTGGCATGCGGGGCAATCTGGAGGGTGCTCCCTCAGGAGAGAAGGGCTGTAGATCCTGTCTGCCTCCCCTTGCTCTCGCAGTTCACTCATTTCGGTTTCCTGTGCTGGCCACCATAGTACCATTTTCCAAACCAGGAACCTCTTCGACCTCAGAGAGGCCCTGAAAAGCAGATAAAAGTGAAAGTGAATTGTAGGGATGAGAAAGGAGATAGCCCAGATGGAAGCAACTTCCTCCTCCTCCATTTTTTTTTTCTCATAGTTCTTCCAATAAATCTGGGTAGCTTCCTATTGCTTGTCTATTCTAGTTCCAGTCATTTGGATACCCAATTCCCTCTTACCCACCATTAGGGGAAAAGATGTCCCAAGCTAGAAAGCCAATCAGTTTCAATCCAGGATCCCTCATTTCCCTTCTGTCCTACTGCTCCCCTTAAATGCCACTGACCAAGATTGCCAACGGAAAAATTAGGAGGCAGCTAGCTGCTCCATTCTTTCCTTCCTGCCCCCAATACCTCTTGCAGTTCCTGGTAGTGCAGACTCTGGCTCCTGAAGCATCCTGGCTTCCTTTGGCTCAGCAAGAATAGGGCATATGTGGAGGACAGCACACCCCCTAGGGTGAAGACCTCAGCGCTGAGCTCCAGCACCAGCAAGCCCACCAGCTGCAGGTAGACAGGGCTGAGGATGCTGTGGGGACCCAACACCTGTTTTTCCCTGCCCTTTCCATCTCTTGCTTCCTCCTCCTTCCACCTCTTCGTTCACCAGTACCTGGGAGGAAGCTGTCGGAGAAGGCCCCAAAGCTGTCTTCATCACCTCGACCACCACCGCAATGAAGCCCAAGATCAGGTTGAAGGTGTTGAATATCATCATGGCCCGTACCTGCCAGTGAACCAGTTCAGCACTGCCCAGCCTAGGGGACTCATTCCAACATCAATCCCCACCTGAAGCCTAGCTGAAAACAAAGCTCAGCTCTTGTTTCTTCTCCAAATGGGACAGGACCATCAGCCCTCTAACTTTCTTGCTTTCTCTCCATAGTCTTTTAGGCCAGCCAGGGACAGACAGCAGAGAGGATTAGTCAACATTTAATCACTTACTTCCTGAGTTGAGGGGTGTGTGTGTGTGTTTTGGGGGTGGGAGGACAGTACTGCATGCCCTTCCCACTCACCTTCCAGAGGCGGGGTGCTCTGCGAAGCTCAAGGGTGACAGTCCCAGTTAGGAGACCCTGCATGGTAATAAGCACAAATTTAAACTCTGTTCCCATTAGGGAGGTGTCCCCAGAACCTTCCTTCTACCCTCCCTGTGACAGGTCTTACTGAGACTCCAGACCCAAGTGGCAGTGCTGTGGCCATGTGACAAGCAGAGTTCAGGCAGGCGACTGAGACAGCAAAGGGTACCACAGCTATTGCCAGCCATATCTGGGTCACCTGGAGACCAGAGCAGGGTATTTTAGTAGGGAACTGTCAAGGATTCTTTTCCCTCCTGGAAAACCTTGCCTCTTCTAAAGATCCATAATTGGGATAAATACATGGCAGAAGGAAAGTAGTCAACCAAGGGCAGCAAAGGAAGTAAGATTTAAAAATTAAGTGCCATTTAATTTGTTCTGCCTCATGTTACAGTTTACTTACCTCTGTTTTCCCCATCGGACAGAAGCTACATGGAGATTAAGGTTCTTGCTTTTTATTTTTTAAATTTTTTGGTCTGTTTCTTCCACCCTCCTCCCACTAAGAGCCTAGCACAATTTCTGGCACATGGTAGGCGCTCACTGAACATGGATGGAACTGAATTGGATACAAGTGGACATGCTGAGACCTGGGGTGGGACAGCCTGGCCTCACCGCCAGCACCAAAAGCTGTCCATTTTGCTTGTGCCTTGCCCAGTGCTGTAGCTTTTCCAGACGAAGGCTGGGTCTCTCCTGCTCTTGCAGATTGGCTCCATCCTCCATCATTCCCTTGACCACAAGAGCTGGGTGCTTCCTAGGTTGGAAAAATTCATTATGGGCTTGTCCTTCAGGAGATAGGACATGCTATATCTCTCCCAGTTACCCCTCTACCCACTACCAAAATTAAGGGAATTGAGGCCCAGGACCTTACACCTACCTAGTTTGAAGCAGCTACTCCAAAGGGATGGGACTCAGATGGGTCCTGGGACTCTTTGGGGGCCTGGTATTTCAGAGCAGATGAAAAACTTGTCCTGTCTGAGAAAGGCTGACACAGCTGGGCTGTGGTTGGGCAAAGGTCCCAGTAAGGGCCTAAGGATCTAGGGAGTGGCCCTGGGTAGACACCAACCTTAGTTCACAAGATACTCAGCCCTATCTCATTTTGTTCCTATTTCTATTGCTCCCATTTCTGCCCATCTGGTTTCCTCTTTTGGATTCATTCACTCACCACATCCCTTTGGATACTTTCAATCCTGGACCTCAATTTCCCTATATTCCATCATCTTTTTTTCTTTCTTTGGTTTCTTCATCAAATAACTTACTCTGCCCTAGTAAGATTCCATATTACTCTTTGGACTGCTTATTACCACTTACAGCTTTGTCCCTAACCCAGGTTAAGTTTTATTTCCCCTAACTTTCCTGTCTCTCTCTTTTCTCTTTGTAATTTCTTGAAAGTTTTACTCTGAATTGGATGCTAAGTGGATGGAGAGCACTGTTTTTAGTGGGGGATTGGTTTTGACTCAGTGATAAGCTGCACTTAGACATATGTAGATGTTCCCCAAGTCTCGTGTACCTTTCTTGGGAAAGGTACTATTAAAACAATATTTCTGAAAGAATAGGTACCTTGCAGCCTGGGCTAGACTCAGTTCTGCAAGTTTACCAGCTGTGTGACCTTGGACATATTCTTGTGACATTATTTTACCTATTTCAACCTCAGTTTGTTCACTGATAAAAGGAAGGTAACAACGAGACCGTGCTGTGAAAGGTTGTTGATTCAGGGTGAATGGTTAATAACCATTAACGATGCTGATGAGGTCATACTGATGTGCCTGAGGACTTACTAAAGAACCTAAGATGGGGATATTTATTTGTACAGCAGAAAAAGCTGGGCCTGAATATATACAACTCAAAGATAGGAAAGGCCCATCTTGGCACAGAGCCTGAGGTCTGGAGAGAACCAGTCCCAGATCCACCTGGATGACCTTGAACAAGTTGCTTAATCTGTTTCCTTATCTATAAAGGGAAGTTAATACCAATTTCAAGGGGTTGCCTTAAGCATTAGAAGAGAAAATGCATATTAGCTAGCTTAACCCAACACCTAACACATATGTATTCATAATCCTTAGTAGCTATTATCATTATTATTGATGATAGGAGAAACTGAGCCAGAAGAACCCTGGCAGGTAGTTCCTTGGACAGGATCCTGGGAAGCACATGGCCTTCTTTATAAGCCATTCCTGCCCTACTCAGTGCTGGGCCAATATCCTTGGAACACTGTATCTATTTTTCTTTCTTGGGAAGTGGGAATCACATTTTAAAGGAATCTAGAGAACTGTTGTCTATTTCTACCTCTTCAATCCCGTATGAATTAATTTTATTTAATGGTGATGTGAGATGTTGGGCTTGCAATGAGGATCCTTAAACTTGCAGGCCAGTGGGGAAAGAAACTCCTTGAGCCTCATTTTTCTTACCTGCAAATGAGAACTAATTATATTTGAACGTTATTGTTAAGGATTCTATACTATTAAATACGTGAACAGGCATTCTGTAAATATTGACCAAATCTGAATATACTACTTACAAGTTTGTAGCCATCGCCCAGACTACAGTCTCCTCAAGGAAACATATCGCATCCCCCTCATCTGGGCATCCCCCACAGCTCTGAGCACAGTGCCGGGTACTTGGTAAGCACTCAGTAAATATTTGTTGTTTTGAAGAGCCATTTAAGTGTCTTAAAGAATGGAAAATAGAATTCGAGAGAGAAGAACGAGAATTGTTTATCAAGAACAGAAAGGACGGAAGAGTAACTTTAATAATGTTTCTTATACGGCAGACATTAACTATCTCTATAATCGCCCCTCCTCCTCCCCAAAAAGAGACAGAAATTGTAAGGGAGAGGCTTTGAGATAAAACCCCAGGAAGAACTTCTCCGAGTCTGTGCATGTTGGGGCAGAAACAGCGGCAGAGCCAACTCCTTCCCTGGTATGTCCGGGTCTAGGGTGGGAGGGGCAGTCCTGCTAGGAGGCTGGGGGAAGGACGAGATGACCTTTCAAAATCTCTTCCAGTCTCCTGTTGGAATCGTCTGTGCGCCCCACCCCCGCTCCCTCCTCTCTCCCTCCCTCCGACAGCGCCCCCAGTCTCCAAACTGCCCGCACCCCGCCCCTGGCGGCCGCCTCTCGCGGCTCCCGGGGTCCCCAGCTCCCTGTCCCCAGAGCCGTAGCCGCGCTCCCGCGCGGTTCCCAACCCCGCCGCGCCGCCCCCCGCATGCTAATGGCCGGGCCGCCTCCCGCCGCACACAATGCGGGCCAGGGCCGGGGGCGGGGGGACCGGGGAGGGGGCGGGGGCCGGGCCGGGGGCGGGGGGGCCGGGGCCCGGCGCATCTCCCCCGGCCCCACGTAACGCTGACGCCCGCGCCGCCGGCCCGCCGCCCGCCGCCGCCACCGCCGCCGCCCGCCCGCTCCGCCGCCGCCCGCCCGGGGCTCGTGAGTAGCCGCTCCCCCCACTCCCGGCCCCCCCCCCGTCCGCCACCCGCCCCCGCCCCCGGCCCCCTCCCCCCATCCCGGAGGGGGGGCCGCTCCGCGCGCCCGGCTCGGAGCAGGTGCAGGGGGCGGGGGCGGGGGAGGGGCGCCGGCTCGGCCCCAAGCAAACTTCGCCCAGAGCTCCTGGGGGGGCGGGGGGGGGGTGGCGGCCTGGGAAGCCTGAAGAGCTGGGGGGGGGGCACGGGAGGGGGGCCAGGTGGGGGAGCCGGGGGAGCGGACACCAAAGGGGAAGGGCCAACGGGGGTGGGGTGGGGGCGGGGGTGGCGAGCGTCTTTGTAGGGGCCCGAAGGCAGGGCGCGAGGGGCCTGGGGGTGCGGGGCGGTGTGGCCGTGAGCCTGAGTGGATGCGCGCCCCCCGGCCCAGGTAGGGCCCGTGGGGGAGGGGGCAAGGAACCCAAACTCTCCGGAGTGGGGACGGTGGGGGGAGGGGAGAGGATGGGGGGTGCTTCCCTCTCTGCGTCCCAAACAAAGTGTCACAAAGAGCTCGGCCCGCGGCAGCAGCGGAGGCGGCTGTAACTCAGCTTTTGTTCTCCCGGCCGGGGGTAGCAGAGCCCTGGCCTCCCTATCTCCCACCCTGCCCCCTATCATCCTTCTTGCTTATCTTCCCAGGGAGGGGTCTGGGGTGCTGCTGGAAGAACCTCTTGTGCAGGATCACAGGTCCTACCTTACTTGCTGACCTATTTCTGGGTGGGGTATTTTCCCAGAAGCTCTCCTGCCCACCTCCCTCTTTCCCCCACCTCCCAGTCTGAGGACTGAGGCTCATTTGGGCGGTTAGACTGACTTTTCTAGGGTCAGCTCCAGTTAAGTAGACTAGGGATGGCTACATGCCTCCTTTCCCCAAATCCAGATCCTTCAGAACTTTGAAAATCGGGGTCAAGTTAGGACATGATTCTGGGATAAAATTCACCATGGTGGGGTGGCAGCAGGTGTATCTTCTCACCTCCTACTGTGCATTTGGAGTCCTTAACTGAGGTTGCTTGCCCCTAACTCAGGACAGTGGGACCCAGGGAAATGCTGTCTTCACCAAGAACTCAACCTGAAAGGTGGCAAACTCTCTGGAGGGAGAGTTTGGAGGAGCCGAGTTGTGAAGTTAATATGGAGAGGAGACCACAAAAGTGATCTATTGGCATGTCTCTGTAATTGAGGTGGTCTTCATTCTGGACCACTTAAGAAGCTCCCTTTCCTAAAAACCCATTTAGTGCAGTGGTTATCATAATTGTTAGCTGACTTCAGAGGTATAGGATTCTCAGCAGAGGGAAAACCATCAAGTATTAGAAATGACCAGAGACAGAGGCCTACTTACAGCTAGACCCCAGAGATCCTGAACCCTTGCTCCATACACTTTGATCCTAAAATCTTTGAACCACTAGGCTTGGGGACAACCTTCTTAGTCCTCCATTTGGCAGATGCTTCTGTGTATCTGTCTTTGATGTTTATAAATCTTTTTATTAACCATCCATCTTTACTTACTAAGGTTTAAGGTTTGATGTTCCATAAACTGCCTATACCAGCTGTCCTAGCATGTAAGAGTAATTGGCCTGTTGCTTTGGAAATATTTCTGATCCCTAACCCTGGCTCTGCATCCCTATAGAATCCAAATAAGGGCAAGATAACCCCTGATTCTCAGTGGGGGTGAAAAGTAGGTCACTGCTACTCTCTGACCAAGTCTGGCCAAGTATCATGGATGGTGTTTAAGCCTGAGTATAGAAAAATCTATGATTATTGTCCACAGTTAATACATGTATGACTTAAGTTACAAGCCACTTCATAAAACCTGTCAGTGCTCTCCTTTATTGATTACGACCAGGAGATCAGATGTCTGGGCCTGATTGGAATGAATATGATTGAGGGGATCTTGATGGGGTCTAGGAGTTCTCAGTGAATTTTGTTGATTTTAGGCCTCTTTTGGAGAAACTCTTCTGCTGGGGAATTTAGCTTCAGTTTGGATCTTCTTATATCACTCTATTTCCATTCTGAAAACTGCTGTGTGCAATGTGTGTGTGTGTGTGTGTGTGTGTGTGTGTTTTGGGAGGAAGTTTTGCCTTGTTCTGTTTTATTTTATTTTATTTTTGCATTGGATATGAGTCCAGCTTCTCAGGAGATGTTTTGCTTGCAGTTTTAGGGGCCCTAGAATCTTCTCAAAATCAGAATATGTGCCCATAGGTTAGTCAGCTATGACCATGCAGTATTCCCAGCCTCCACCCCCCCTCCCTCCTGGCCATCTGCTTCCTCTGAATATACCAGATTGGCTGTACACCAGGATGTTCCGGGAATCCCCAGGAGAGCAACAGAATGTGAGGGACCCAAATACGATGCCTCAGTAACTCATTCCAGGATGTACAAACTGTAACTGTCAGGACACTCCTTATAGCTAATTAAAAATTTTCTAGTTACATCTATTTTCTAATACCTCTATTTTCAGTGACATCCAAAAGGCCAAAATAATCCTCTGGTACCACTCTCCCCTGACCCTCTGTGGTTCCCAGATAGGGGGAGAAAATCCTCCAGCTTTTCTCAGTGCTTTATCTGTGATGCTAAAATGGCAAACATGGCCTCTCTAGGACTTCATAGTTCTATCTATGGTACTGAGGTGGCCAAAGTGGCTTCTCTGGTAGCCCACTGCACTCTCCATGGTACTGAAGGAATGACCATTTGTTTCAACATCTCGGGTCTAGAAGAGTCCTGTTATTTAGACCCACAAAACTTTTAAGCTGGAAGGCAACATCAGTAAAAATTAGTCCAACCTACTTACATTATAAAGGATAAATGATTCACTGAAGGTTGGGTTTAATAATGGTAAAACTAGGTTTACAATAGCCTTGTACCCCTTAATCCTATTCTGACTCACCTTCTGTGAAATTATTCAGTGAACCTGGCTAGGCTCTTGGCCCCAGGAAAGGGGTTTGTTTGGAGGATCCAGAGGAGGAAGGTGTACTCCCAAATTTGGAGCTATAGAAGAACACATTAAATGGTGACAGACGACATCTAATGGACCTTGGACAAGGATATTTTTGTTAATTAATTTCCTGTTAATATTCCCAGAGCCCTGATTCTGCATGTAACAGGTACTTGCCCCATACTGAAGTCTTACCACATCCACTAAACCTTGAAAATTAAGGAAGCTCTGGACCTCCAGAGCCTTTTCTCTGCTGATAAGCAGGGCTGACTCCTGGCCCAGTTCTCTTCTATTAAAGATCTGTAAGCAAGGTAATGCCGAGTTCTTTTCTTTCTCAGTAACATAAAGCTTATTGTAAGAAAGTTCTTTATATCTCAAATATTCTTCCTATCTTAGGCGGAGGGGAGGAAAAAAAGAAAAAGGTTAGGCCCACATTCATCTGGCCTTGACCAGAAACAATTCTGTATGGAGGCAGGAAGGTAGAGTGGATGCCTTCTGGTTATCTTCCCAGCCCTGTTTCCATGAATTTTAATTCTGAGGTTACTTCTGAGTCCTAAAGCTGACCTCTTCTGCAGCTTAGAACCAGGACCCCCCACCCCCATCCTCTTCTTCTCAGTGCTCTTCTTCCCGGCCCTGGAGCTCTGCACATCTCAGGCCTAGGGAATTTTAGCTGGAGAATTTTAACCCTTTCCTGTTAAGAGCCTGTGCGGGAGCCCCTATCTGTGCAGATGGCCCGGCCCCGCCCCCCGTCCCTCACTCCAGCCTCTTGAGCTCAGAGCCAGTGTAATCCTCCTCTTGTGTGAGGAAGCCTCTCCCCTGCAGAGAGGAGGAAAGCCTGCTTCGGAACAGCCTGGACAAAGGGGCTGAGATGCCCCATCAAACTGCAGGCTCCAAGGTTTGAAACAGGGGATGAATCTTAGACGGTATTTGCAGTTTTTAACCCCTTCCCCAGACTGGCAGTGCCCCTTAACTTCCACTCCTCCCCCAACTCTCTCCATTCCCTCTGTGACTCTCTCCCCCTTCATGCCCCTCCCCCTCTGTCTGTCTCCAGACTCTGCTGCTGGGAGGTGTTTCTCTCCCATGCATGAATGAGTCTCTGTAATGAATGGAAATGAATGGATCAGGAATCCAGGCGGAGGGAGGGAGAGTGAGGGGGAAAGACGGAAAGACAGGGTAAAGGCAGAAGCAAGGACCATGGAACCTGGAAGGATGTTTGGCTGCCTGGTCAGTTAGGGTCTGATTGTGATTGACTGACCCCACTTGGATAACCGGGAAACATGGCAAGCCCTCTCCATTCATTTATCAAGCTGCACATACTGTGATGTTCCCTCCCTCCCCACTGCCAGGATGTGAGGTGGTGGTGGTAGTGGTTCTGGGAGCATTTAAAACATAATTTTTGGGAAAAAAATTGGGTTATCAGAGAGCCTTTTGGATTTGGCAAATTAAGGGGTGGAGTCTTTGAGGAAAGCAGCCCCCTTGTGACTCAAGATGCAAATAGGAAGGGAAAGGTTTAAGGACTATAGGGTGTTAAAGAGTCTGGGATTGGGGGTGATACTTTCCATTGCTGAAAATCAGGACTCATCTTTCCTCCAAATCTTTCTTCCTTTAGCTCCTCAGCACCTGTTGCCTTCATTAGCAGCCTTTCCTCCTCTTCCCTGCACTCCCCAGAACCAAAGAATGTGAAGGGGTTCCATGGAGGTGAGTGGAGACATGGACTGAACCTACAAATATCTAAAACGGTGCTATCTCCCCTTCCTAGCTCTTTCTCTTTTAACCTAACCGTGGCTCTGCGTCCCTATTATAACTTATCTCCTTGGCCCCAGCATCCAGTTCCCATCCATCCTCCAACCTGCAGTGGTGAATGGCATCCTGGGTCAAGCCCAAACCCACTCTCGTTTTGTTCTGGTCCTTGTTGCCTTTGTTTTCTCCACTGATCGCCCTTCTCCATCCTTTGCTCTACGTGCTTCTTTTTCCACAGGGCTCACGTCCCCGCGTCCCTGGTGGCCATTTAGCCCCGTCACCACCGGCCTTTGACGGCGAGCTGGATCTGCAGCGCTACTCCAACGGGCCAGGTGTGAGCACGGGGTCGCCCGGGATGGGAGCTGTGGGCTGGTCTGAAAGTCGAGCAGGCGAACGGCGGTTTCCCTGCCCTGTATGCGGGAAGCGATTCCGCTTCAACTCCATCCTGGCATTGCATCTGCGAGCGCACCCAGGGGCTCAGGCCTTCCAGTGCCCACATTGTGGCCATCGCGCAGCACAGCGGGCTCTGCTGCGCTCGCACCTGCGAACACATCAGCCTGAGCGTCCACGTAGCCCTGCCGCGCGCCTGTTGCTGGAGTTGGAGGAGCGCGCACTGCTGCGGGAGGCTCGCCTAGGAAGAGCCCGAAGCTCAGGAGGCATGCAGGCCAACCCTGCCACTGAGGGCCAGGCACGGCCTCAGGTTCCTTCGTCATCTGCCTTCCGTTGCCCTTTCTGCAAAGGCAAGTTTCGCACCTCAGCGGAGCGCGAACGCCACCTGCACATCTTGCACAGGCCTTGGAAGTGCAGTCTGTGCAGTTTTGGCTCCAGCCAGGAGGAGGAGCTGCTACACCATAGCCTGACGGCCCACGGGGCTCCCGAGCGCCCCCTGGCGGCCACCTCCACTGTGCCCCAGCCTCAGCCTCCACCCCAGCCCGAACCCAGATCTGTTCCCGAGCCAGAACCAGAGCCTGAACGTGAGGCAACCCCTGCCTCTGCTCCTGCAGCTCCTGAGGAGCCCCCGGCGCCTCCAGAGTTCCGCTGCCAAGTGTGTGGCCAGAGCTTTACACAGTCGTGGTTTCTCAAGGGCCACATGCGCAAGCACAAGGCCTCCTTCGATCACGCGTGTCCCGTGTGTGGCCGCTGCTTCAAGGAGCCCTGGTTCCTAAAGAACCACATGAAAGTGCATGCCAGCAAGCTGGGTCCTCTCCGTGCCCCAGGTCCTGGCTCAGGGCCTGCCCGGGCACCCCAGCCTCCTGATTTGGGGCTGCTGGCCTATGAGCCACTGGGCCCTGCGCTTCTCTTGGCACCGGCACCCACTCCAGCTGAGCGTCGGGAGCCCCCGAGCCTCTTGGGTTATCTAAGCCTCCGTGCTGGCGAAGCCCGGCCCAATGGAGAAGGGGCTGAGCCTGGGGCCGGCCGTAGTTTTGGAGGCTTCCGCCCACTGCCATCAGCTGTCCCAGCGCGGGCTCGAAGGCACCGTGTGGAGGAGCCTGAGGAGGAAGAGGAGGTGGTAGAGGCTGAGGAGGAGAACTGGGCCCGGGCCAGGTCACTGGGCCCTTTGGCCTCCCTGCACCCACGCCCAGGCGAGGGACCAGGGCACTCGGCGCCTTCTGTGGGGGCCCAGGCAAGATCTACAGCCACACAGGGTATGTAGGGACTCCTCTCTGGGTTTTCTTTCTTCCTGTCCAACTCTGTGGTCACCACTCTTGTAGCTTCTTTTTTAAAAGAGCCTTTTTTCTTCTCATTTTATTTTTTTCTCCTGAAGGTGTTACCACTTCCAATGGCACTAATTCTTAACCTCTTATGTTCTCCCAAACTTGCTGTAACCTTGTGGAACCCAAGGGGAAACAGGCCTGTGGGGTGGGTGTGGAGGTGCAAAGTGACCCTCATAACTTCCTTTTAATATGTACATTGCAGAAGAAAATGGGCTGTTGGCTGGAGGGACCCGGCCTGAAGGGGGCCGAGGGGCCACTGGCAAGGATTGCCCCTTCTGTGGAAAATCTTTCCGCTCAGCTCATCACCTCAAAGTGCATCTTCGAGTGCACACAGGTAAGGAAGGCAGCTTCTTGAGTGGGTAGGGACTGAAGGGGAGGAAAAAAAGATGAGAGCTATCAATAGTCTTAGAGATGACCCACTATAGCATTCATATTGGTCAGATGAAATTAGTTCGAAAATGTTCTTTATTAAATCAGAGCTAGTGAGAAAGACAGGGCTTCTTCCCAGTCCTGAGGATGAAGTCAGTAAATTGAGCAGAATGCAAATGAGGGCATGCAGTGATTCTGACCTTATCACCTTATCCTACCTTTTTTCCCCCAGGTGAGCGCCCTTATAAGTGTCCACACTGTGATTACGCGGGCACCCAGTCTGGCTCACTCAAGTATCACCTGCAGCGTCACCACCGGGAGCAGAGGAGTGGTGCAGGCCCGGGGCCACCCCCAGAGCCGCCACCACCTACCCAGCGGGGTTCAGCCCCATCCTCAGGAGCCAAGTCGGCTCAGCAGTCTGCGACCTGGGTGGAGGGTGCTGCAAGTCCCCGGCCTCCTTCAGGTGGCGCTGGGCCGGGGTCCCGTCGGAAGCCCGCTAGCCCTGGGAGGACCCTGCGCAATGGGCGAGGTGGTGAGGCCGAACCCCTGGACCTGTCCCTGCGGGCGGGGCCGGGAGGCGAGGCTGGGCCAGGGGGTGCCCTCCACCGCTGCCTTTTCTGCCCTTTTGCCACTGGAGCCCCTGAGCTTATGGCCTTGCATCTGCAAGTGCACCACAGCCGTCGGGCTCGGGGTCGCCGGCCTCCCCAGGCTGATGCATCTCCTCCCTATGTCCGAGCACCATCAGGAGAGACCCCTCCCAGTCCTTCGCTGGAAGGGGAGGAGGGCCCCGGGTTGTCGAGATCTGGAGAAGCAGGGCCTGGGGGGCAAGAAAGGTAGGGATCCCTCTTAGGGGTGATTAGCTTAGTGAGCTTACCCCGCAGGAGCGGGGGAGCACTAGAGGTAGTTGGGTAGAGCAGCCAGCAGGGGGCAGTATGGGACCCAAATCCCAGCCCCAGGCGGACCAGAGGTGGAGGGGCAGTGGGCAAAGGAGGATGGGCAGGCGATACCCATCCAGCCCAGGGGAGTCACAGTGCCTTAGAAGTGGCAGAGGTGAGGGTCAAAGAACGGGGTCCCAGGTCTGGCAGAGAGGATTGTGTCCCTGTTGAGGAGACGCTCTGCCAGTTTTTGCTGGTCCATAGGCGTGAGAGTTTATTTTTGTACAAGGGGTGGGGGTGGGGGGGGCACTGTACCCTTCTAGCCCCATCAGGGGCCCTGTAGACATTGCTATTTTTGGTACGATTCCTGTCATCCCTGTTGCAGAGTCGTGTCCCCAATAAACAGGTGTCTTGAGGCACAAGGCCCTGTGTCCTGTCTGCCTATGTCCTGTTTCTTTCCTTGGGCTCTTCTGCTTTAGAAATAGTTAACCTCTTCAGGCATTAAATTATCATTCAGAGAGCTAGACAAGAAATGTAGAATCTTGGGCCTTAACCCAGTCTTCAGATTTAGTATCTCTGGGTGGTGCCCAAAAGGTAGCATTTAAGAAATAGGCTAGGGGGTTCTCATGCACTGTGGCTTGAAGACCTCTTTGGAAAACTGTTGGGCTGTGCTAGACCCCAGTTTGTCTGTGACTAGCTTAGTTAGCCTCAAGATGTGGGAGAAGGAACCTCCAAAAATTCATTGATCTTCTGGAAGCCACTATGGAGGAAGCACATTTTCCCAGGCTCTTGCATAGTTTTTGGACAGTAAAGGATAAAGGGTACTTCAGCCTTGGTTTTATTTTCTGTATTCTAGTTAATGGTTGGTTTAGGGAGGTGCTCAAGTTAGTTGCAATACCTTAATCCAGAGGATTGTTCTGGCTCCTGGGAGGCAAAGTGTGAGTAAATACATTTAATATAATAATAGTATTATAATAACAATAATTACACATAAAAAGTCTGCAGTTCCGGCCCCACTCTGTAGTAATGGTTTTCATAGCTCCATTTCCTGTGATATCCCAGGATGGAGTTACCAGGTACCAGTTGACCTGGCAGAGATGAGTCTTCTCTGGGAGAATCAGGGGATGAGGAGAAACAGGCTGTCAGAGAGGTGTCCTGGGGTTGCGTAGTGGCCAAGGATGAGGGAAAATTAGAAAAGGGATAATTTCCCTTTTCCAGGCTATGAAGGGAAGCAGATATGGCCATTCTGGTTCCTGCAGGATAAGGCACCAAGCAGGGGAGAGCTAGAGATAGCAGTAGCAGGGGGATGTTCTGGTCCTTGAATCCCCTTTCTGTTCAGGGAGCAGAGGGAAGGAATTTGGTGCTCTTCTAGTCCTTTGTTATGTCCCACTGACATCCCAGCCCAAAACACGTGGAGAGGAGGGGCTGCAGCCAAGTTCTGGATCTTCTCTAGAAGCCAGGAGAAAAGAAGGATGGATTGGGAAAGGGAAGAACCTGACTGTCAAGCAGCTTAGGCTAGGAAGAAGGGCACTTGAAGGACAGAAGAGAGAAAGGGGATATGAACTCACCTAGGTCACAGAGGTGTGGTGGGGTCACTCAGGGCTCGGGCATGACTCTGAGGGCAGAGAAACTGCAATGAATTTGGAGATATTTCCTCTCTCTCTCTCTCTCCCCCTCTCCCTCTCCCCCGCCCTGCCCCTCAAGCCTGCTTCTTATTAAAGATTTGTTTTTTTCACCTCTGGCATTGATACCTCTTAGCCAGGCCTGGGGGAGAGGAGAAAGGCAGACTGTGCAATAAATCCAATTTGCATCCTCAGCTGGGATCATTGGTTCTCCCACTCCCCCAGTGGGCTGGATGATCAGAAAAGCCCACCCAGAAAGTGACCAAAGAGATCACCCATTCCCAGCTTTACTGCAGGTACTTACCTGCCGGGATAGCCCTAAGATCCCTCCACTGGCCAGGGTGGGAGTGCTGCTCCCAGGGTGGGGGGGTTGCAGGCTGGGGCTGTGTCTTGGTCCTGGGGACACATCTCCAGAAGAGTCAAGTGTTTCTGGGGCTAGAGGGGAAGCTAGGGTGAGAGTAGGGTATAGAACTCCTGCAGATTACCTTAAGCAACCAAGCTGCTCCGTCAAGGAGGAAAAAGCTCCATAGCAACAGGAAGCTCTGTCACCATAGCAATCCAGTTGCAAGAGAACCCCCCTACCAAGAGGCAGGAAATTGTCAGCAGCATCATTAGAACAACCAGGGAAGAAGCGACAGGAAACTATAAGGATTGCCGTGGTGAACCAGGAGGGTACAACAGGAAGCTGAGGCAGTTTCCATAGAAACCCAAGGAGAGCTAGAGAAAGAGAGGTACAGAGGAAGTGCTTCTTAGCAACAGGCTGCTGTAAGCATCACCCTAGCAATCACATGGAAAGCTCTTTTAGCAGTGGGGAAGCTGTACATGTTGTCATGGCAACTGGGCTACTTGGCTAGAAAAAGGAATTGCTCAGCAGCAGGCAGCCTGAACATCACCATGATGACCCGGCTGTTGGGAGCCACCCCTTGAGAGGTGCCTCACCCAGGGAAATTTGCTTGACGTCCAGATCCCAGGCCTCCTCCTCGACGCGGGCAGGCAGGGAGCAGGCTCCCGGCGAGAGGCCGGGAAGGGAAGGGCCGGCATGCTCAAAGGATGACACGGCCACGGAGGCCCGGGTGCGGGCGGCTGTAGAGAGTGGGGAGTTGGGGTGGGGGTGGGGTGCTGGTGTGGGAAAGCACTCCTGGCTTCCCAGAACAACTGTCTCATAGAGGGCCTCCCAGTTAGTCCCACAGATTTTAGAAAGAGAGATGCCCACTCATTACCCTTCCTGACTTTCCTCCATGCCTCCCCATCGTGCTTGGAGCTGATCAAGGTATGATTCCGGGGACACCCCCAGCACCTTGGCCCTTACCTCTTCCAGTGAGCAGGGCACTCAGGGTCCGTTCCCCAAGGGCTTTGATGTCCAAGAAGGGTTTATTTCCAATACCCATAGAGACCATTTGCTGTACTCGGAGTTCTAGGGAACAAAGACCCTGTTAGCAAACTACTTGGCTCCAGCTCTAACACATCACTGGTTCACCCTTTATTTTGCTTCTTCCCAACTCTCATTACTCCCTCTCTTCCTCTGGTATCTCATTACACTTCCTGTTGGCTATCACTACAGGAATGGTGATGGTAGTTGTTGATTTCCTCCAATTTATATCTATCTGTTCTCATATATGTGGCATCCTGGCTGCCCACCAACTTTTCTAATCTTCCTTTTCTGTTGGGCATTAAGAGCAAAACTCACAATTTTATAATCTTTCCATTTTATAAGATGCTTCTATATATATCACTTTATTTAATCCTCCCTACTTCCTGGGGACGTAGCTTAGCAGTAGAGTGCTTGCCTAGTATGTCCAAGGCTCAGGATTCATCCCCAATACAGCAAAAATAAAATGAAATAAAAAAATAATTACTATTTGATTTTTCAGATGAGTAGAATAGAATGAGGTTCACAGAATCAAATAAAAACAAAAACCAGGATGGGAATAGGAAAGACAGTAGAATAAATTGGACATAACTTTCCTGTGTTCACATATGAACACACAACCAGTGTAACTTCACATGATGTTCAACCACAAGAATGGGATCCTAATTAGAATAAGTTATACTCCATGTATGTAAAATACGTCAAAATACATTCTGCCATCATGTATATCTAAAAAGAACAACTAAAAAAGAAAAACAAAAACTAATCCAGCAAATAAGTGGCACCAGTTCTTAATCTCAAATATTTTCTCTCTTGCCCACCCATTTACTCTCATTTTCCTGACATGTGTTAGCTTTTTCTTTCTTTTTCGTACATCTTAGGCTAATTTCTATTCAGCAATTCTCTCTCAAGCCAGATCTTGAATCTTAAGTCATTCTTTTTTCTGCATCCTACACCATTTTCCTAAGCAATCTCCATGTTCTCCAGAAAACCTCCTGTCATAACCCTGGTTCCAAGTACGTTTTCCCACAGCTCTGCCCAGTACCCTTGTTGTGGGCTGCCTGTCTCCATAGCAGCTGGGCAATAGAACTCGTCCACTTCAGTTTGATCTCTGGTGAAGTTGCCTGCAGAGTGTATGCCTCTCGTGCACGCCGCCGCCGAAACCACAGTTCAAAGCAGAGTCCACTGTCCCCAATGTTTTCTGTAAGCCCCATGTCAGCAGTCTGAGGAAGAGTAGGGGGAATGGTTGAAGGTGCATGAATTCTAGCTGGATGGTATCATATGAGCAAGTACTACATTTAGCCTGGCATTTGGTAGATAGATGGTCAGTAAACATTTGCTTAACTCTCACCAGGTGCCAAATGCTCTCCATGCAGTCTTCACAACAACCATAATTTACAGAAGGGGAAATGAGGCCCAGAGATAGGCAGCAACTTCCCCAAGAATTTATGTAGATTACTAGAGTAAGGACTTGAACCCATGTCTCTTATTCCAAATCTAGGCCTTTTTCTCTGTACTATAACTACCCCCTAAAGAGCTGGAACTAGTGTAGGAGACAGAGTTAAGAATCTTTAGAATCATTCCAAACTGCCTGATCCAAGACTATAGGTTGCTATGGACATTTATCTGGCTGGTTCCCTAAAGCAAGCTTTCCCTCTTCATGGATAGTGTCCTTTCCTCTTATACCACAGGGACCACTCCTAATTCAAAAGGCATATGTGTCCTTGGTGGGAAAGATCCTCTTCCAAGTCTGACTTAGAATGCTTCATAAATCTGCATGGACTACGTGAAAACCCCATGGGGTAGACCAATGGCAGGGACTTCTGTCATCCTCTGATACCTTAACTTGATGACTGGTTATAGGTCAAAGCCTATTCAGAACCTGGGTTGGGGGTGAACTTCTAGCTTCCTGTCCCCTTCACCTACTCCAACTCCAGGCAATGTACCTTAAAAGCCTGCTTGTAAACAAAAGTCTCAGAACCCCCTTCAGAGCCCTTGAGCTTGCTGAACAGAAGGAGGTGCTCAAAAAGAAAGACATGGCGAAGACACTTCTTCCGGCCACAGATGACAGTGAAGGGATCCCGATGCAAGAGCTGTCCTTGCTCCTTCAGATCTATCTGGGGAGAGGAAAAGGAAAGGTGGTTGGCTCTGGATCCTTTTGTATGTACTTTACAAGGAGTAAAAATAGATTTATAGAGCATGGGGGCCTAATGCACTGGTTCTCAGGCAGAGTCAGGAAATTAGGAAAGCTCTCAGCCTAGAATCCATTCACTGGTCACCATGTACAGTACAGCTGGTCTACCAGCACAATCCTGCCTCTCATTATGGGAAGGTGCACTGCACACTAGAACTTAAAGTCTCCCCTTGGAAAACCTTTGCATTTTGAGGACCGAGGAAGACAGCCAGCAAAGACCTAGAATAAGTTTATCTCAGAGCAAGGAAGATTTTATTTTAGTCTGTTCTGGAATCTCAGGGCAGGAAAAAGACATGGTAGAGGTGAATAAAGAATGTGTTGGGTGTTGAGATGCAGGTAGAAATGTAGACCAGAAAGGGAAAGATAAGAATTAGGAAAGGAATAGGAGATCACAAGGCAGATTGTAGGTATGGGATGTAGGGCAGGACACAGCTTCTTTATTTACAGATGAGGAAACAAAGGACCACTTAACTTCAGTGACAATGAAATCCATCCAGCTGATTAAAAATTAGAGCTTATTGGGCTGGGGCTGTAGCTTAATGGCAGAGTGCTTGCCTAGCATGCATGAGGCACTGGGTTTGATCCTCAGCACCACATATAAATAAATAAATAAAGAAAGAAAGAAAGAAAGAAAGAAAGGCATTCTGTCCATCTACAACTTCAAAAGAATAAGAAAAAAAATAGAGCTGGATGCAGTGGTGCATGACTGTAATCTCAGCGGCTTGGGAGGCTGAGGCAGAAGAATCGTGAATTCAAAGCTAGCCTCAGCAAAAGTGAGGTGCTAAGCAACTCAGTGAGACCCTGTCTCTGAATAAAAAATACAAAATAGGGCTGGGGATTTGGCTCAGTGGCTGAGTGCCCCTGAGTTCAATCCCTGGTATGCGCCCCCCCCCACCTGCCCCAACACACACAAATTTAGAGCTTAGGGCCCTCTGGCCTTAACTCTGGTTTTCTTGTCATCAGTCTACACTGTCTGAGGCTACAGGGTTAGGCAATATGAACAGAGGGACTAGAGCCAGGGCCTTACCTCACAGCCTCGCACTGCCTCTACAGCTAGTAGGTCTCTGCCTCGGGACTCTTGTTCTCTGAGCAACTGCAGAGCAGCCCCAAGGGCCTGGCGCTCAGAACTTGGCTCAGACCCAGCTTCCCTCAGGAGCTCCTCCAAGAGCCGCCCATACCGAGCCAGTTGCTCCAAGGGCTGCTGCAGGGCCCGGGGCAGGTAAGGGCCACTCTCCATGGAGCCCTGGGTGAGGAAACAGACAGGATGAGGGAAAGGGCTGGTGCCTGTGGGGGGCCAAACTTTGGGGGAAGGTGGGTAGTAGGTTGGGTCCAGGCTTTAGAGTATAGATGAAGCCCAGATACCCCCAAAGATAAGGCAAAACCCTTTCCTCCAGAAAGAAGACAGGCAGGAGGCCTGTAGGAAATGCAACCATACTCTGCATTCTAAAGGAAGTTGACAAAGAAACCTGGGGAATAACACCTTATAGTCTCTGGCATTTAGCTTTTGAAATCACTTTCATATCTTTTGATGCAAAGTCTTTTGATCCTTGAACTCTATGTGAGAGCTCAAGATGGAGGGAATATTGCCCTCAGTTTACCAGACGTTGAAATGGAGGCCCTGAGGAATCAAGAATCTTACCCAAGTTCCTCAGTTGGGGGAACTGGATAAACACCCAGCCTCACCAGGCTCCTAGTCAAGTGCTTGTCCCTCCCTCAGCAACTCTGGGACATGACAGGTAGAAGGCATTCCTGGGCACATTTAAGAAAGCTTTTTATCCCTGACGGATGTTAAAGTGGGGTGGGTTTTTAGGTCTTCTCAGACCCTCTTCTCATGAGGGTTCGAGAGGAGTTTACCTTGGCTGGGGGGTTGAGTGTAGCCAGACCATTTTCCAGTTTGTGTCGGTGCTTCACATACTGAGCATAGAGGCTGAACTGGTCCCCCTGCACAAGTAAGGAAGGCACAAGTTCTCACTCATTCCTCGTGAGGCCCCTGCAGACAGACTCTCCCTTCCCCTTCATCCTCACTGCAGCCAAGGATGGATAGGTCACCAGGGAACCCTCATCCTTCCAGGAAGAGAGTGAAGCCCAGGTAGCCCTGGAGGGCGGGGACGGAGAGGCTGAGCAGAGCCAGAGGTGCCCAGAAAGTGGGGTTGAGCCCCAAACTCCTAGACTACTTGAGGAGGAAGCGGGCAGTGGGTAGTGGATGTGAAGGAGGAACGGGTGGATGGGGCTAGATCATGGGAAAGGAAAGGAACCTAAAAGACGTTTTAGAGGATCACTCACATGGCGAAGGAAGCAGGCCCCAATGCGCAGAGGGTGGGCAGCGCAGCCCTGAAGCTCACGTAGAAAGTGTGTCCTGTGGAAGCTTCGAAGTCTCTCCCGGGCACTCAGAGTGGCGGCCCAGGTGCCCCGAAGTTCAGGGGTCAGCTCAGGTCCAGGGGATGGTACCGGTTCACTTAGGGTGGTCACATACTCCTGTTCACAGGCAATCAGTTCAGACACCAGACGCTGCTGGGCACTGTAGGGACAAGGGACAAGGAGTGGCAGAGAAAGTGTCACTGGGGCATAAAAGGGAGCTATTATCCCTAACAATGTCATGTTTTTTTCTTGCTGGCAAGTTGGCTCTGCCTTTTGGGCACTAATTGGGCTGGGTTCTCACCTGATGCTTCGCTTGCGCTCCATCCGGGGGGTGCCTACTCCCCACGGCCCATCTGGTCCCCCAGCCCGGCCCAGCAGCACATGTTCCCGTGGTGAGCACGTCCTGTCTACCACCTCGGTACTGGTGACCTCCAGGCCTCGGATTAGCACTGCCCTTGGGGGCCTGCCATCTGCTTCTGGAGCCAGCTCGGGACCTTCCTCCTCGTAGTCTTCTCCACATGGGGCCAGGGAGCAATGGGATGGGGCAGCCCGTGGCCCAGGGCTGCTGGGGAGCAGCAGGGAGCTGAGGCTGGGTGAGGGACTGTGGGAGCCTCGCTGGGCCCCAGCACTGCTGGCACTGTCTGCCCGTCGTCGTCGCTGGCCCCGAGGACTGGCCTCCTCTCCCAGCTGTTGCTGAATCCTCCTCTCCAGCTCTTGGCAACGGGCCCGGCAGCGTCCCCATTCTCTCAGGGCTGCTGGGCTGCCCAGGTCCAAGGCCAGGGCCCGCATCTCCTGGAAGGTGCCAGCACTGGGCTCCGGGGCCCGTCGAAGGGCTAAGGCTGCCAGCAAGGCCTCCCGACCTGGCCCAGCTCCTGCCAGCCGAGCAGAACCCTCATCCACCCACTCATGGGCCTAAAAGACAAAGGGATGAGGGTGAGGACCTGTGCCACTTTCAAATGCATGCAACACCTCTGTTCCTCTTGCTGATGGTCTCCCAATGCCCCAAACCATCCCAACACCCGGTGTCCTTTCCTTGTCCTAGCATTACTGCCTAACCATGTCACTTGGAGATGGGATGGAGACAGGATCCTAGATAAAAGAACAGCTAAAACTTATACAGAGTTTATAAGTGGCAGGCTTGGTATGAAGTACTTCTATATATTGTTTCTTGACATCCTTACAGCAGGTCTGTGAGGCAGAATGTGCCAAGGCACATTCAGGTTTAGTACCTTATCTCAAATCATTCAAGTAGGTGGCCAAGCTAAGAGTCAAAGCCAAGGAGATGAGCTCCTGAGTCCCTGTGCTTAATAAATTTATTGCCTACTCGGCCTCTCCAGGCCAAAGAGAGGAAATGGTGGGCACAGAAGGAAGGGGCTCTGTGTACACCTGCTGGAAGAAGCGCTGTAGCCGCAAGGCCCGATGGAGATTACTCTCAACCTGCTCCAGCCGTTGCTCAAAGATATCCAGAACCTTTTGGGAGGCCATGTCCTCCTCCAGAGTAACAGCCTCCCGTGCCTGGGATAGGCGCTCCTGGAGAAAGAAGACCACGATCAGACCTGGTCCTCACTCCCAATTAGTCAACACCCTACCTCCCTGTGTTTCTTCTCCCCACCTTTTTTTAAAAATAATATTTATTTTTTAGTTTTAGATGGACACAATATCTTTATTTTACAATTACGTGGTGCTGAGGATCGAACCCAGTGTCCCTGCATGCTAGGCGAGCACTCTACCACTGAGCCACAATCCCAGCCCGTTTCTTCTCCCTTCTCACCTGAACCTCAGTGTTGAAGGCTCGGAATCGCAATTCTATCTCCTGCAGGGTAGACAGGGAGTCTCCGGGCACAGTGAAGCTGGCTAGCTGCTCCTCCCCTGGGCCTGAGAGCCACTGCAACACCTGAGGCAGATGGGGTGGGAGAACAGGGCCCATGAGGGAGGAGACCGTGGAGGAGAAAGGTAAGAAAAGATTCAAATCCAGCTCCAGTTTTCCACCCTGATCTGTAGAACCTTGGGTAACCCATTTTATCTCATCTGTAATTGCAGTTGGTAAAAATGAATGACAATAGTTTCCACAAGGATCAGGTGAAAAACTGAGTAAGGAGCCTTTAGTAAAGTGCCAGATGAGGCTGAGCTGGCAGGAAGCATTAATGGAGGCGGGTTAGAGTTCCAGGGCTAGGCCTGGAGAGTGAAATAGAACTTGGGTGAACCAAAGGCAGGATGAGGGTCATCTGAGTAACCAACGGCCAGCCAGGAGAAATGTCATAGGTCCTGTGTCTGGCAACTAATGGGTGAGAGTCCTGGTACCATGCCTGGAGAAGGTGGATACATGTGTGTGAATGTGTGTGCCCAGATTTAGTTGCTTATTATGGAAAGGAACTCATGTGCTAGTTCTGGATGTTTGACCAAAAAGAAATGGCATTTTTTTTTTTTTCCTCTGAAGAAAGGCTGGAAGCTGGGGTAGGGCAGCCTGAGGCTGAGAAGTCTGAGAATGTTCCTCATAGTCAGTGCCAACAATAACCACTTTAATAGAGTACTTTGTTGAATTAATTTGATTATCCTAACTACCTTATGTGTTAATTATAACTATTTCCATTTGACAGAGGCGAACTTAGGATCTCAGAAAAGCTTCATGACTTGTCCAACACCTTATATATAGTAGAGCTAGAACTCAAATAGAGCATTTTAACCTTTAAATCCTATTTTTAAATAGGTTTTAAAATCAGGAGTGGAGAGGGGAGATAGCTAATCATCCAGCCAACAAACAGTAAGAGATGATCCCTTGGATATTGGAATAGCAGAAATTAAAATACAGCAATCTCAAAACAAAAAAGCTCTGACCCCTACTTAGCTTTAACCCTGAGATGAGCCTTCCCCTGATGCCCATAGGCAGGTTCATGACACTGCTGTTGTCATGCTTGGGACTAAAGCAGAACAACCAGATATCAAAGACCCCTCTACTCTAAGTGGTAGGGTGGAGAGCAAATCCTTGTGGGGCTCTTAATCCCAGGAAAAAAGAGTCAAGGTTCAGAGGAGCTAGTCTTATTCTTGAATCTTCCCCACAAAGAGGACCTGGTTCCCCCCAGGGGCCTGTAATCTCTCTCCTAAAATGGAAGAAGATAGGATACTTCCAGCCTCAGATCTGGGGGATGACACTGCATAAGAGTAAAGGTGGCATTTGTGGCTGTGTAGCTAAAGAGCTGGTATCGAGAGATTATTTTTAAATTAAGGAAGAAGTCACTCCAGAGTCGATCAGTTTTCCCCTGAATTCCCTAGGGCACTGAGCATCTCTAACAATCTCTAAAGACCCTGACCAAACAGAGAGGAGACCTGGCTTCTCTTTGCTGGTGCTGAGATGCTTCCACCCTGTGATTGAATCTCGTACTTAATAACCAACCTCCTGGGCAGGTAAGGTGAAAGGGTGGGGCATTCAGCATACCCTGGCAAAAAGAATGTCATGAATGCTAACTATCCAGAGAAGTGGGTACCGGAGACCAGGTTCCCAGACTGAGTAAGAACAGTCTAGAGTTCTAGCTCACCTGCTGGAGTTGTTGCAGGCGTTGCCGCTGCTCCTGCTGCTGCACGTGCAGGTTGGAGAGGCGCACAAGCTGATGAATGGCCTCGTCCACCTCCTGATATAGTGTAGCTGGGCCTGAGCCCTCCAACCTAGGGAAGGTTGGGGCAGAATAAACCTTTGCCCTTGTCAAGCCCCTTGACTCTGTCTTTTCATCTCCAGGGACATAAACATGAGAGGTGGCATAACACTGTGGATCAGATATGGGCCAGACTTAGACTACCTGAACTTGAATCCTAACTCTCCCATTCACTGAATTAGCCTGGCCAAGATATTTAACATTTCTGATCCTCCAAGTCCTTATTCATAATTGTAACTAGCACACAGTAATGTTGTGAAGGCTATGAGATAATAAATTTTAAAACACAATATCCTACCCAGATACATGTGCAGTAAGAATTATGAGGTAGCTAAGGTTTGCTGGCAGCCTTCTGCTGTGTTTCCCCCTTCCACTGCTACCTGCCTCTGCACACCCATATCATACTTGCTGCTGTGAGTGGAGCGTAGCCTCATCAAGATGGCTCCTCCATCCCTCTGCAGTGCAGTCAGCCGGGGATCTGCCAGCACTTTCTGCAGGGGTTCAGGCATTCCCACCATCTCCTAGGGAAAAGGAGCAATTGGCAGCTAGGGTTCTACTAGAGTGCCCACTTCAGTCCCATCCCTATCCCATCCCCAGTTGTCCTTCTCGTTTCATACCTCTCCCTCTGGCTCCACTGCTCCCTCCAGTTCCTCAATGGCCTTCCTTACAGAGCTCAACACACCTTGACACAGGCTGCATAGCCTTGCCACTTCCTGAAACCCACAAGCAGGGAGTCAAAGATCAGAGTTTGGGATGAGGCACCTAAGTCCTAGGGTGGGTTGAGGCAGCCCCAGAGACTTTAATGGAGGTAATGCTGGGCTCTATTTCAGCATGCTGCCTGCTGCTTACAAATTGGATAACATTGGGTGGGTCCCAAAACTCTGAACCTTATTTTCCTCAGCTGTAAAATTGGGATAAGACAGGATTTTATGAGTTTTAAAGAGGTAATACCAGCCCAGTACCTACCATGGCCTGGCATTTTATAGTTTAGTAAACCTGAGTTTCCTTTTCTGCTGCACTGGGTCTTAACTGTGGATAACCCTCCTGTCTGCCTCAAAAGACCTATTTCTCTGCGCAGGCGTGCATGCACACACACACACACACACACACGTGTGTGTGTGTGTGTGTGTGTGTGTGTGTAGAGGTAACAGGGATTGAAACCAAGGGTGCTCTCTTTTTTTTAATTTTGAGACAGGGTCTTGCTAAGTTGCCAAGGCTACCAAGGCTGGCCCTGAACTTGTGATCCTCCAGCTTCAGCCTCCTCTCAGCTGGGATCACAGGTGTACTACATACTTTACTCCAGTTCCACTTCCTTTTTTTTTTTGGTACTGGGGATTGAATCCAGGGGCACTTAACACTGAGCCACATCCCTAGCCCCTCTCCCTTTTAATTTTTGTATTTTATTTAGAGACAGGGTCTCACTGAGTTGCTTAGGGATTAAGGTGCTGAGGCTGGCTTTGAACTCCTTATCCTCCTGCCTCAGCCTCCAGAGCTGCTGGGATTATAGGTGTGTGCCACTGAGCCCCTGTCCACTTCCCTCTTGATACACAGCTCACAGACCATGTTTCACCTCTGATTTCACACTTGGATCATGATTATTCCTCTCTTCTTGAACACTTGCTGCACCTAGATTCACAGAATCCTTGCAGATAATTGCTGGAAGGAGCTTTAGAGATCATATCACAATTGCTGTACTTTGGGGTGAGAATCCTGAGGGCCTGGATATTGGTGCAGGGAGCAGATAGAGAAAGGGCACCATTTCTGGAAGTGAGATAAGGTAACCTGTCCAAGGTCATATGGAACAAAAACCAGCCTTTTGACTCTGGCGCTTTCCAGAAATCCAATGACACTATCTAACATTCTTCTCTAGTTATTTTATAACTTAATCTCCCACCAAAAGTCATTTATTTAATGTGATACTAAATAACACTGTAGTTGTAGCTCAGTGGTAGAGCACTGGCTTAGCATGTGTGAGGCACGGGGTTTGATCCTCAATATCACATAAAAAATAAAATAAAATAAAGGTATAAAAAATGCAATAACATCATTAAAAAAATAAAAAAAGAATTTAAGCCAGGTGCGGTGGTGTGTGTGAGTAATCACAGCAGCTTGGGAAGGGCGGAGGCAGGAGGATCACAAGTTCAAAGCTATCCTCAGCAACTTAGTGAAGCCCTAAGCAATATAACAAGGTGTCTCTAAATAAAATATAAAAAGGGCTGGGGATGTGGCTCACTGGTTAAGAGCTCCTGGGTTCAATCCCTGGTACCAAATAAATAAATAAATAAAGATTTAAAATACTCTTCCCATCCCCCCAGTAGCCCATTGCTACTTGATCATAGTTTATAAACCATAAATACTTGCTGAATTGAAAGGAGTGGAAATCACTTTTTCCCACCCCCAGGGTTGTGTCCTGGATCTGCCTTCTCTCCTAGAACGTCCTCAGCTGGATCATTCTTATGTCCCAGGGTCCTAAGTGGTAGAGTGAAAGCTTACCTGATGTACTTCTACCCAGTGGCTGGGAGAGGGGTCCCTGTGACCTCCTAAGTCCCACTGTAGCTCCTCTGGTTTGGCCACTCTTTTCAGATCATTCTCAGACAGCAACTCAGCACCCTGTAGACATGTAAAGGCAGGGGTTTATAACCAGGCACCCATGAATTCAGAGACCAGCCTCAGGCTCCTGATAGCCTGTCTCCACTCTGATGGGGTACTAGGTGGGAGCGAGGGGATCAAACCTGAAGTCCATGGAATTCAGCCGGAGGGTCATCCTGGGTGATAATCAATAGCCGCTGAATGAGGGGAGGGTCTCCTGAGTCCTGAGAGTAAGAAGAATAACTCTAAAACTGTGGGCAACTGGGTGGCTTGGAATGGTACCAGGGGAGAGTGAGGATCTAGGGGAAGAGCCTGTGTAGAGGGATTAGTTACCTGAAGTTGACTCAGGGCAGGAATGAGTGCTGGAGGCAGTGGAGGTGCCTTGCGAAGGTCGAGCAGAACCGACAGTCCCAATAACTGAAGATCAGGCCTATGGAGGCAGAAGAGCTAAGGAGGTTGCAGTGTGTGTGCATATTGGGGAGATAGCAGGTAGGGCAGGGCAGAGGCACAGGTCTGATTTAGCATTAGTAGTCTTTAGGAGAAGTCAGTTCCTGGTACATTTGGGAAACAACAAGCAAAGGGCCAAAGTCTGGGATGGATGTCCAAGAGGTGGTGACCAATAATCTGGAGTTTACTGACAGGGCCAAGGGACTACGGTCTGGAAATAAGAATTCTATGTTTTGGCAAGGTATGAATTAAATACAAGCCTGTAGCATGGTGTCTGGAAGTCAGAAGTCAGTAAGGTCAAAGACTTGGAAAGCTGAGAGTTGAAGAAGTAGGTGTGCTAAAAATCAGAAGGTCAGTGTCCTGAGAAGGAGGTCAGGTCCTCAGGACTCAGGAGGTTACTGTATAGGGTCCTCGCGCTCACCGCAGTTACCTGAGCAGTGAGTGGAGATAATGAAGAGTAGTGCTCAGCATGTCTCTGGAGGGTGGGGGCTCCTCAGGAGGGCACGGTGGGGTAATGGTCAGTAGAGCTCGCCCACTCTGGTCCACCCCTCCTGAAGACACAAAATGGCCAGGCTGTCCTGGCTGGGAGCAGTCCTTGGCTACCTCCCTTCCACCCTAGCTCCCTTCCACGCCCACTTCAACTGCTTCTCTTTCTCCAAGTCCCTCTCCCTTTATATACTGATGTCCACTGACCAGTCAGGATGAGGAATCCAGATGCCATCAAGTCCCAAGCTACATCAGGGTCATCAGAGATGGAGACTGGAGGGGCCTCTTCTGGGATGCTATCCCCTTTTACTTCCTGCACTGTCTCCAGGGGTTGTGTTAGGGGGTCAGACAGGAGCCCCTCTGTGGATCCTACAGAGACACAGGCAGAGCTGTGGCCTAAAGTGAGGATGGGTCTGGCTGTTTTGGCCCCAGCCTAACCCCTGATCCTCTTCCAGCCCACCCTCTGTCTTGGATCTCAGTGTCCTCTTACCTGCCATACTTGCCAGGTTTGATCCCTCTTGCACTCTCTCTTGGGGCCCTCCTTCTTTAGGCCCACAATCTTCTGAAAGCCAAGGCTCTTTTTCACCTGCTGGTGTGAGCTCCTCTTTTGGTTCACATTCTGGCTTTCCAGAGCCTTCATTCTCTTCCTTAACTAGACTGGATTCTGGAAGCTCTTGTACATTTGGTGAAAGCAGATTGACAAGGGCTTCCTGGTGGATGGTCTCTTCCTTGTCCCCAGGGCTGAGTGGGGCACTATCCCCTCCTCGGCTAAGAGCCACTCTGCCTGCAGCTCGCTTCTTTCTCCTGTTTCCTTTGCCTGTTCTCCGAGGTGTACCAACTGGTCCTTCAGTTCCCTGGCCTGCTCCTCCTCCAGATTCCTCTGGCCGAAGGGGGCAAGATTCAGAGGCTTCTCCCAAGGCTTCTGTTGGAGGCTCAGACACCTCCAGGACTGCTGCCTCTGGGAGAGCTTCAGCTCCAGGGGGGGACCCAGGAGAGGCTCTGGTGCTGCTTCCCTCACCAGGTGGGCGTGCTCCATCCTGGTCCCGAGTCCCCAGGCCTTTCTGGTGCATCCATGCCCGGTGTCTCCGGTGCCGGCCCTTCCCTCCAGCACTCTTGCGGGTGGGTACTGTCCGGGTTCTAGACAGGCCAGAAAGGCCCTCAACATCTGTGGGGCTTCCTCTCGCAGGCAACGTCACTTCTAATAGCTCCACATACTCACCCTCTGGTCCTTCGGCAGGAGCATTGTGCCCATCCCCAGGACTCCGGGTGCCTAGCACCTCCTCAGGGAGTGGAGGGCTAGGAAGCCCTGGGGGTCCAGGTGGCAGTTCTGGGGGTATTGTGCTTGGCCGATGTCCAACCATGAGGCCCCCTTTGTGTACAAATCGTGGGCAGATGAGCTCGGCCCAGGGCAGTCTCTGAATCCCAGAGGGTGCAGATAGTAGGCAAGTGCTGAGACGACCTGTTGGTCGGTCCTTGTTGATGCCTTGCAGCCACTCAGGTGTGAATAGGTAGGCACAGGCCTCATTGGGCACAGGCAACTCCTGCACCCGCCCACCCCCTGGGGCTAGACACTTGAGGGCCAGACGGGGTGCTTGGGCTGCAGAGGGCACCACTTGCAGGTAGAAGTCTCCTGGGCGCAGCAGCTGCCAGGGCAGAGCTGCTAGCTGCACCACCACCTGCTCGTGCAGGCAGAGGGGCCAGCCCTCATGGAAGAAGAGGAATCCGCTATACTGGGCCTGGGGAAAGAGGTTGGTAGGCTGCACTCAGGTCTTTGCTGAAGAGACCAGCGGGAGGAGGCAATGAGAATGGGTTCACACTGGGCAGGTATGGCCTTATGCGTGGTGGGCTATAATCCCTGGGGAACAGGAAGGGAGATTTTGGAGTGTTCATGTGGCCAAGGAAGGGATGTCTTCAAATGGTAAGAAGCTTCTCTAGGATGTTAGTTCCATGTGTGGGTGAGTAAGAACTGAATCATTAAAAGATATGGTCAGCAGATGCTATTGTCTTAGAGGAATCAAAGACTCTTGGGTCTCTACATCTGCAGAAGTGAAGTATTTGCTGAGTCATATCTGGGGGAGTTTAGTATCTTGCGAAATTCAAAAGAGGGGGGAAATGTCTAGTATTGGGTCTAAAGGGCCAGGGTCTTTGGGAATTAAAATTTCTTAGAGATTGCTATTTGGGGAAGATGAATGCACATGTACATGTGTTAGTATCTAAGTCACTATCTTTAAGGGTCAAAGACTGTGGAAAATCAGCAAACAAAGTTGAGTGTCTTTGTGGGGAACAGTATTAGGGGAGGCTGTGTGTGTGTTGGGGGGATGAGTCTGGTGGTGAGCCTTGGGAGAGGCAGTGGATCTTAGGAGAGTCAGAAAAGGGATGCAAAGCTACTCACACAGGCTTCCTGCTGGACCTTGGCAAGCAGGTGTTTGGCTGGTACCAGGAAGTCCAGTGTGTACCTCAGTGCATCCTCCCGATAAGTCCTCTCTACCACCTGGAACACCTGACCCAACAGGGTGGGGGCTGTGGATTCGAATGGTGGGTACAAGGCGGCAAGCGTGCTCTGCACACAATCTTCCACTGGCTCAGGCTCCTGGGAGAGACAAAACCAGGCTACAGACCCCTAGTGATCACCCAAGCATGACTTTTTTAGGGCCTGTACTGGACTATGGGCAGCTGCATCCCCCAGGACCCCAATGTACAATGTGTGCCCAAGTGATGCTTAGGAAATGCTATCTGAATAAGTCCATGATGGAAATGGGGCAGAGCCAGTTAGAGCGCACAGGCCTATCAGGTCTCTACACTTAAGCTCTGAGACCTTGGCTTCGGAAGTCCAGGAAGAATTTATTGTGAATACTGATGCTTGTAAATTGGGGGTGGTTGCATAGGCTCTCTTCAGGAGACAGAGAGGCTACTGGGCTGTCAGGGACTAAGCTAATAATCAAGAATACCAGAGGATGGGGGAGGGTGCTGCCATACAATCATTTCAGAGATGATTCTGAAAATCATTTTTCCCAGAGCCCAACATCCTGACACCCCCACTTTTAGTGAAGGCGCCACCTTCCACAATTTCACCCTAGAGAAGGTTAAGGGTGGGAAGAAAGAGGATGTAAAGATTGTGACTATCTCACTACTTTATAGTACTCTTTCTTCCAGAGTGGCTCTAAAGCAATCATCCATTCCCAGAGCATGTGGGATTGGGTTACAAAAGAATGGGGTGGGCATTTGAAAGAGGAAAAAGGCACAAAAGGAACGTGTGGGGAAGGGAGGAGGAGGCCCTGATGGTATGCATTCCAGCTGAAATCTTTTCTGATTCTAGGGGGACCTGAGTCTGCCAACCTGGACCTGTAGTCACCATCTAAAAAGCCCCACTTCATCCTAAGTGAATCAACTGGACATCTTCTCCATCCCACACCCTAACAACAGCCCCTTGGGCTATTCCTTTGCAAGCTTATTTCGCTTTCAAGATGGCCTTTGAAGTTCCTTTTATCAGATTCTTTTGCTGTAAATGGGGAAAGGTATGCTCCAGGCAGTATTTACCTAGCTCTTTGCCCGCTCCGGCCCCCACGTCCTGATTTTGCCCCAAGACAAAACTGCTGTTTTACTCTGGTTGGAGTCGCTTGCTGGTCCCAAGCTAGGCGGCTACTCCAGAGACTGACATTCCGTGCGTCAGCGCACAGATCCGGCCCCGAGATGTGTAGGCGAGCTGACAGACCCCCAAGTGTTCCCAGTACTCCGCGGGCACTGGGCGCGTGGGTGGGGATAAGGTGGAGATGGGCAGGGGTGAGACAGAGTGGGCCGTCGACTCCAAGACCGGGAGGGGGAGATAGAGCTAGAGTAGCAAGGCAGCTGCAACCCATTAGGGGCGGTGAGCTCATGGCTGAGCGAGAGTCTCAGCCACAGGAAACGGCAGCGGCAGGAGGGGAGGAGGGGTCTGGGGCGGGAGGCTGCGGGCGGGAGCCCAGAGACCCGGCTCCTGCAGGCCGGGACTGAAGAAGAGACTAGAGACTGAGTCAGCTCTCCCTGGCCCAGTTCCTCTTTCTTCTAGCTCCAATCTCCTTACCAGGGGGTGCCCTTCCCTCAGTAGAGGAACGGCCCGTTAATGCTCCTAACCCTCCTCCACTCCCTGCAGGGAGCGCCCCCTGGTAGGGCCTCTCTCCCTCCTTCACACTGCAGAGAGAGCCCCCTTGCCTGCCCCCTCCCCCTTACAGAGAGCGCTCTCCCTGGCAGTGCCCATTCTTGCAATGGATCTTTAAGAATACTTCTGGACTGAAAGTTCCCAGGATAGTGTTCACTCCTGTTGATGTGGGCTTCCAGGGCCCTGAAGTGCTGCTCCAAGGTCCTCTGCCTCTGGCAGGGAGCTCCCGCCCCTTCTTCCTCGGCTCTGCAGAGTGCTCCGTGCGCTTCTCTGCAGCGTGAGCTCTGGGGCACTTTCCCCCTCGATCTTTGGTCGGCTCTGGCAGCGTCACGCCCCCTGGTACTGTGACCCCCCCCTTCCCCGCGCGCCCCATCCACTACCCTAAAGCAGTCCCTTTTTCTCCGCGGGAATTTCCCTCTTTGGCCATGCCCCTGGCCCTGGCCCAGCCACAGCTGCGGCTGGTCCCCCAGGGCCGGATGGGTGGGCCCTCCTCACCGGGTTGGGGACTCGGATGGAAAATGGTGGTTCCAGGCAGGTCAGTTCTCATGACCCGAGGCGGTGCCCCTTGCAGAACTGCTGCAGGACCAACCCGCAGGGGTCTCCCGCGGGTAAGAAACTAGGATCGGGAGGGGGGCGGGGGAGATCCTGCAAAGGCAGGCACAGGTCTGGACAGAGGAGGGGGGAGAGGTGTGTAGATTAAGGGAAAGACAAGGGGGACGTTGGGGGAGGGGGCGTAGGAGAGTGGAAGAAAGGGTAAAGGCAACACGGGTGGGGACAGAGCTAGGCAGTGGGGCAGGCAGGGGGATGGGAGGGAAAAGAGTTTCAGGAGCGCAGAACAGCACAAGGCAGACACAGGAGGCTCTGGGCTGGGGCCTGGGGACCCAGAGCAGACTGCTCGAAGGCGGAGGGGACACAGGGGCTGCGGCGCGGGACTCACCATGGCTCGGCGCCGGGCCGCGTCCGACGCTAGGTCGGTCGGGCGGGCGGGGCTGGGCGCGCCACCGCCTCCCTCCCGCCTCTCGCGTCTCGCCGGGTCTGGCTGGGGGACAGCTCCGGCAGCGGTGGCGGCTCGGCCCGCTCCGGCTCCCAGGCCGCGGGGCCCAGCCAGGGAGGGCCGAGACGGCCGCCCAGCCCCGCCCCGCCCCGCCCCGCCCTTCAGCGCCCGCCCCCGCCTCGGCGCGGGACCCCTTGCCTAGACTCCCTCGCCAAGCTTCTGGGCTGCTGCTCCCCCGACATCGCCAGCCAATCCACCAGTCTCACTCGAAACTCTCTGCCTTCTCCGCCCCGCCCTCCAGTGGGTAGCCCGGACCCTGACCCTCGAAGGCCCGGCCGAGGACGCCCCTATATTCCCGCCGTCGCCATTCTCACTGAGGGATCAGTTTAGCCTTTCCATGGGACACTACAAAGTCTGGGGCGTGCGTAATTCCCTTAGGTCCCCTGTCTAGGACTGGGTGGTCCGCGGCCGGAAACCTCCGTCTCTAACTCATCTAGGACTCCCTTCTCCCCTCCGTTGTCAGCCTTGGAAGGCTCTGGGGCTCAGAAGAGATCCTCAAGCTCTTGTCCCCTTTGGATAGAACCGAGAGCCTGGAAATCAGGGGATTCCTCTAAGTTCCCGGGGGCTTGCCCGCCCTTCTCCTTCCCCTCCCATCTCCTCGGGCCTCGAACCTCCAGGCTACAATGGGCTCTTCTGTGCTGCTTGGGGAAGGCGGGGGCGTGGGGGGAATTATGGAGCTGTAAAGGCTTGAGATGGGGGGTGGATAATGTGGCTTTGGGGGCAGGGTCCCGGGATCAGGATTTTTCTGTAGAATCGTGCAGAAGGGTGGACATTTTCGGCATTCTCTCTTAGCTGGCCCTTCCTCACCGCATTGCCTATCCCTCTTGGACTAGAGGAAGGAAGGCGCCAACTCCGGGTTAGACACCCACGATTCGGTACTGGATGCCAGACCCGTCCTTCTTGTGCGGTGTTGGTAGTGACCCAGAGCTAGGGCTCGTGGCAATGGGGACCAGTATCTGACGCAGTAGACAAAGGGGGCTAGGCTAGTTTAAAAAGTTGTACCCTCATCCACTCTACTTCACTACCAAACCGCAAGCGTTCTCCATCGCCTCTAGATGAGAAATAATTGCCCTGGGGGTCTCCCAGGAATACTGGCCGAGTCAGGCACAGCAGGATGGTGCCCTGCCTCTTTAAGGCACGGGGGAGCCAAGGCAGAACTATGGGCTTTTCCAAAGGGTAGGCATTGGAGAGGAGAAAGGAAGGCCAAATAGTCCCCGGAGAGGGGTGTGCAGGTATGCCCACTGCAGTTGTGGGGGTGGGGAGTGTGGGGGGGGACATGTTTAGAAAACGCCCTGTCTTGAAAGCAGTTCCTGAGGCTGGGAGGCTTGAGGGAAAGCAAGGTCGTTGCCAAGGTGACAGGCTCTTCTCTCACCTCCTCAGGACGCTAAATTCCACTCCTTCTTTGCTGTCTTGTTCTGGAAAAGGAAGAGAAAAAATGGTTAATTCTCCTTGATGGTGAGAAGAAACCTCTGCTCCATAGTGTCTAAAAACAATCTAGGGTAGCAGACCCCTGTGACCATCTTCTCAGCAAAGGAGAACCATGGAGACAGAGCTCTTTCCAGTCAAAGGTTGTGAACCCTGAAGTCACCTAAGTTCTCCAGCTTCTTTGTAATTAGTGCCAGGGAGCTAGCTAAGAGAGTAAGATTTTGCTACCCCCTGGTGTCCACTGGGTAAATACTGCCCTGTGGCTGGTTGTAGGGTCCAGCACTTGGGAAATTTTCTCAGAGGATGTTTTATGAACCTTATTAATCACTTGTCTCAAACCCAGCACATCCATGTCAGTATTGAGTGGGAACCTTCCCTTACTGGGTCTTACATCTCTTGTACTCAAGCAAATTGGGGAACTCTTGGTAAAGTTCAAGATTCCCACAACTAAGCAGTGAAATATATATTTTAAAAAGGAGTGGATCACCCCACCCATGGGAAAAAGGAAGCATTTGAGAGCTTCTGAGTTGGTGGGATGAGGGAGTTTGGATGCAGGGTCTGGAATGCAGTTACCCATTCTTTTCAGGGATTTTAAAATCTGTGCTAAATTGCAAAGTTTTTGTTTTTTTTTTAAGCGAGTGATATGTATGCTTAAAGTGGTTAAATACCACTTTGTCCAGAGAATGAACCTCTTACATGAAAGAATGTATGTGTGTGTGTGTGCGTGTGTGTGTACATGTGCATTTGTACACAATAATCCATTGTGTGTGCTTTTGGTAGGGATATGAAGGAGTAAGTTTTATTTATTTATTTATTTATTTATTGTGCTGAGGATTGAACCCAGTGCCTCACATGTGCTAGGCAAGTACTCTACTACAGAGCCACAACCCCAGTCCAGGAGTAAGTTTTATTTATTTATTTATTTATTGTTGGCTGGGGTACTTGGGATTGAACTCAGGGGCAGGCACTCTATCACTGAGCCACATCCCCAGCCCTATTTTGTATTTTATTTAGAGACAGTGTCTCAATGAGTTGCTGAGTCTGGCTTTGAACTTGCAATCCTCCTGTCTCAGCCTCCCAAGCCACTGGGATTACAGGTCTGTGCCATAGCGCCAGGCTCAGAAGTAAGGTTTAAATGGAGAAATTCGAGGCTGTGAAGAGACCAAGCTTAGAGGCCCTCTCCTGCATTCACAAATATTTCTCATCATAATTCTCCAATTTCAGATTCTGTGGGACTTATCAAGCTCCTATTTTATGATGAAATCCTGGCTTATTTAAGTTAAGTAACTTGCTCTAAGTTACATAGTAAATGAAGAAGCAAGAACTTGAACCCAGGCAGTCTGACTCCAGAGCCTTCCCTCTCAACCACTAAGTGATAAACTTCACCTAAGCTATCAAAGCTCATAAAAAGAGAATTTTGAACACTTATATCATCTTTTTTTACCAATGAAGCATCACATTTAAAAAATGTTAAACTTGTTTTTGTAATAGCCAGTGTTGAAAGAGTTTCTAAAAGTGTTCAATATGTTCTTGTGGGTCAGAGAAGAAAACCCATTTTTTTCTTAGACTTGTTGTAGAATATGTAATAGTTAAAATAATTTCCAGGAAGTTTCCAGTATGGTTTTTATGGAGAAGTAGTGTTATTCTAAAGTGGGGGAAAGCAGAAAAAAAATCTGTATCTGTAAAGTTTATTGCCTGGTTAATGTGAACCAAGAGTTCTAATTGCCCTCTATATATAGTTGGGGCTTTAGACTGCTCACTATTTATCCACCTAGAGAGTAGCAGTGACTAGGGCTCTGCTTTAGTTCATACCTCAAGTTAAGGGGGAATTAAGGAAAGACCACGAGGGACATTTTAGGGATAGACTTGAGAGAACATGTTAATTGTGCCTTCCAAAGAAACAGGGGGTCAAATCTTAGTTATTTTAGCATAAGAAATCTAGAGAATATATAATTTTTATTTTTGGTTTAGTTATTCATTAGTTTTGTTTTATTAGATTGGTAATTTTCCTTTAAAAAATTACAATTTAGCCGGACACATTGGTGCACACCTGTAATCCTAATGACTGGGAAGGCGAAGGCAGGAGGATTGCAAACAAAAAAATTTACAATTTGTCTTCTCTGAACTAGGTATCTTGAAAACCCAAACTGTTAACATCTTGCCTCTGCCAGTGTCTTAGTTTCCATGCTAGTCTACCAGCTCCATTTCTGAAAAGCCAGTTTCTGCACCACAGTCACAGTAAAATTTTAAAAATGTAACTCGGGGGTCAGGGTGCAACTAACTGATATAGCAAGGGCAAGGCTCTAGGTTTGATCAAGACACACACACACACACACACACACATACATATACACACACCCCGTAAATTAAAATATCCCCAAATGAGACCATCTTGTCAACCTTTTCTTCTAAGAGCTTCCCATTTGCATCATGACTCCTTTTCTGTGCCTCATTTATTTTTTAAAAAAATATCTTTATTTGTGTTTATTTTATTTATTTATGTTTATGTGGTGTTAAGGATTGAACCCAGGGCCTCATGCACAAGGGGCAAGCACTGTACCACTGAGCCACAACTCCAGCCCCCCCAGCCTCATTTCTTTCCACTCTTCTCATGTGGTAAGCTACCAGTGACCTTTAAACACACCTTGCTTACTCCTAATTCTGCACCTTTTTGTTCTCTTTTCTTTATACATGGAGCCTTTTTCCACAATTCATCCTCTGGGCCTGAACTAAAATGTTGCTGTCTCATAGCAACTCTGTTTTTATTTCTTCATCTCTGATTATGTATTTATTTGTTTTTCTGTCTCTCATGACAAACTACCTGTAAGCTAAAAAGAAACTTTTCATGAAGTCACGTCTCTTTTGTCACTGCTCTTCTCTAGCTAGGGTCTGACCAGGTCTTCAAAGGTATTATCAAAGGTAAAAACTGTAAGAGGAACAAAAACCCCCACAGAAACAGAAATGATAGTGGGACAGAGAAGAGGGGGAAACCTGGCCGGAGTGGGAGGTAGAGAGAAGAAATCAGCTGCTTAACTTTGTCCACTGGAGGATATTTGCAAATGAATACACAGGATAGAATTAAAAACAGAGGGACCCCCCCCACCCCAGTAGCTGGAGTTGTGGCTCAGTGGTAGAGCACTCCCCTAGCATGGGTGAGGCACTGGGTTTGATCCTCAGCACCACCTAAAGATAAAGGTATTGTGTCCATCTACAACTAAAAACAACAACAACAAAAAACACACACACACACACACAAACAAACAAACAAACAACAACAACAACAACAACAAAACAAATGGGAACATCTGGATCAGATGCAAGTTCATTGTGCTGTGAAAGTCTGGAAAATGCATGGCTTGGAAAATTCGTTTATGGACTTGATTTAGGTACAAACTCAGAATCTCTTCTACAGTTTAACTCATTTGACTGAGGTTTTGTTTTTTGTTTTGCAGTGCCCAGGATTGAACCTAGATTTCTCACATGCTAGGCAGATGTGCTACCAATGAGCTACACCCCTAGCTCATAGCCCATTTTTATGTAATGTTTTCTTCA